CAAGATGGCAGGGTTTGTATTTGAAAAATCAATCGGGAAATGCAAAATATTTGGAGGTGAAAGTCCTAAAAATTGCGCAAAAACTCCTTTAAAAGTGTTATATCTTTTTAAGGCAAGCTCTTCGGCAAAGAACGATATTCAACCTTATTCTCACAAAACTTCTCGCGTGAGAATGGGAAGGGACGAAATTGAGAATAAAATTCATGAAAATGAACGAAATTAGGGTGTCCCAAAAAAAAGTACCCCCCCCCCTCCCCTAGCGGCGCGGATGAAGCTCGGATCGGGCTGATTTTTACACCATTCGAACGCTCTCGAAAAGGCGAAAAAACAAGCGTGCTTTGTTTTTTTAATTCAAAACTCATCCCATCCATATTTAAAGTTTTTCTAAAAAAGCAGATAATTTTTCAACAGAATTTCGCAATTGGCATGTAAATCTTGCATAAATCAGCGGTTTTTGGACGTAAAATGCGCGAATAAAAATACACAATAAAGATCATGAAGCCTCCTTGTTTTTCGCCTTTTCGAGAGTTTTCGGTAGATACCTAAACGGTGAAAATCGGACACGACTGCGCGCCGCTACAGGGGGGCTATTTTTGGGACACCCTGTAATGCCAATGGACTACAGCCCGCGTTCAGCGCGCAACAGCGCTACCCACAACCACAGTGCACTTTCAGGAGAAGAGGACTCTCACTGCGATGCGCGCACAACTGTATGAGACATTCATCGCCAACTTCTCCACGATACAATCGGCCCTCAAGACCGTAATCTACGGCAAACAATCGGACAATTATCATTTTAGGACGAGCACTTTTTTACAGATGATTGCGGCGGGCAAGGATGTAGGTGCATCTACACTAATTCATGATTCCACTCTTAGACGAGCCTCAACACCAGGTTATCCGTGAAAACGCTCGGTGATATTCTGATGGAGCTGCACCGTAAGATATATGATACTGCTCGAGAGGTAAACCGCCGGCTTGACTTTATCAAACTTGATTAGGCCACGGCCCCGGAGCAGCAGCCGCCCAGCCAGGATTTTCGCCGCATCAACGACAACAGCGACGACAGCGAGAGCTCCAGCACAGGCGGCCCAAGCAACAACTCCAGCCATGACGACGTAGCCGACGAGTCTAGGAGTTCAGACACCTACGACCCTGACGAATCGATCGAGCAAAGTGATGACAGCGACGAGTCCACGGAGCAAGAGAGTGATGGCGATGACGAGTTTATGGTGCAAGACAGCGATTACGGTGGCGAGTCTACGGAGGAGGACAGCGAAGATGACGACGAGAAGCCACAGGTTCACAAATTTTACCATTTTATATCTTCTTACAATACACTCCAAACGAGTTTTTTTAAGCTTTAAGCCCCTGGAAAAGTTAAGCTAAGCTTAGCCTTATGCACTAATTGCATTATGGTGCTAATGCCTCGCTTGAGGTTAGGCTTAAGTTTAAGCGCAAGTAAGCTTATCTTTTGCATTATACTGCCATGCGAGGTCAAAATGGGGTCATTTGGGCCTTAACCTAGAGCTAAGCTCATCGTGGCTCAAGCCAAGCTTACGCTTCGTTTGCTTGAAGCTAGGATCAGGCTTAAGCTTGGCCTAACTTTTTCAGAGGCTTAACGCTTAAAAAGCGGCGTTTGGAGCGTATTGTAGTCAAAATCCGCACGGCCCCCCGCCCCGAAGTGCATTAGCACCTTTCTTATGTTTTTTATATTGTTTTTATAAGTAAAAACTGCTATAAAAATGCTATGTAACGTGCTATAAAAATGGCTTACATTTTGTCATAGGTCCGTAGAGAATATCAATCAAAAATTTGGTTCCCCCGCTAACAGTCCAGAACCTAGGTTTTTGCGCCTTGCCTAGACTAACGCATCCAATCCACTGCAGAAGCGCGCGGACCCGCTGCTGTCGTTCGACGAGTTCAGCCAACTGCCGCTTGATGTATGGCTGATGGTGATGGACCTCTTCAGCCCGATCGATCTGCTGAACCTCGCCCGCTCACACACATTTTTCAAGGTGCTTCTTTGGTGGACGGTACAGTTCTATTTCGAGGGGAGGGAAACTGTGCGGGGGAAATTTTCCTTCGTTTTGTTATAACTCTTTTATATGATGCTATTTTGAGTTGCAATTAAAACTCTTACTAGGGAAGTCCAAGATACCCGCAACACGAATCGGGCTGAAAATTTGCACAGTTATAGAACCGACCATGCTGATCATCGCCTCGTTTTCCGAATTTGCTACCGAGTTTAAATAATTAAGATATTAAACTTTAAAAATGGGCCAAAAACCCGCTACCCTGACCCTGGCTCACTAAGCGGGTGGGGTTCAAGAGGCCTTTGGGAAGCCCCCTTTCCAGAGCTTCGGTAGTCAACTGGTAAGCGCCTCGAATCCCAGGTGGAGGGTCCGGGTTCGGACCCGGTCCGCCCATTTTTCTTTTGCTTTTTGCTAATTTTGCGCCGCACATGTGGCGCGTGTCCAGATTGTGTTATGCACACCCATTTACGTACATCCTAGAAATGAAATTCAACGAAATCATAAATTTTAGAAAAAACTTTATAAAGACAACACTAGTAAAAAAAATTGTTAAAAAACGGGTATTCCGTAATTCGACGGCAGCAAACGGCTCATCTGCGTGTAGTAAAAAACACAATCTGGACACGCGCCACATGTGCGGCGCAAAATTAGCAAAAGCAAAAGAAAATGCGCGGACCGGGTCCGAACCGGACCCTCTACCTGGGAAGCGAGGCGCTTACCAGTTGACTACCGAAGCTCTGGAAAGGGGGCGTCCCAAAGGCCTCTTGAACCCCACCGGCTCTAGTGAGCCAGGGTCAGAGTAGCGGGTTTTTGGCCCATTTTAAAGTTTAATATCTTAATTATTTAAACTCGGTAGCAAATTCGGAAAACGAGGCAATGATCAGCATGGTCGGTTCTCCAACTGTGCAAATTTTCAGCCCGATTCGTGTTGCGGGTATCTTGGACTTCCCTAGTTAGTATATCTTTTGACGCTCTATCGAATGGCAGTAAAGGTATTTTTGAAAGATATGGAAAATGTCGAAAACTAGCTTTCAACTCCACGATCCCATGTGGAAACACCGTATAAACCTTGTTTTTGCCATAACTATTTTATAAAACATTAGTTTTAGATGAAATTAAAACTCTTAGTATATTTTTGATGCTCTATCGAATGACGGGTTCAAAATATCGAAAAACTGGCGAAAATGCCGAAAACTAACATTTCGGCACCAGTTTCAATAGTTTTTTTGTTTTTGCCATCACTTTTTTATATTACAATATTTTTAGCTAAAAGAAAACTCTTAGTATATTTTTGATGCTCTATCGAATGGCGTTGCAAAAATACCGAGAAAATAGCGAAAAGATAGAAGTTTTGGCGAAGCAAATCCCCCCGCGAAATAGAAGAGAACCGAAAACTTTCTACTAGAAACTAGGAAAATGTTTCAAAATTCGAAAATTTGGTCATTTTGGGTGGAAAAGTCAATTTTTCGAATTCCAGAATCACGTCACGAGTTCCCCGAAGAAATGGGGCTACCTGCAGAAGAAGAATATCACGCGCAGCCACGTCGCTTGCCGCCCGCAGCACAAGACCGCTATCGCTGGATTCGGTGAGTTCTTCTGCTCATCATCATCTTCCTCTCTTGTGTGCTCATTTTTTTGTGCTTAGGTTCTGTTCGTACCGTTCCGCATTGGAGATCCTGCTCAGCAACGCGTACTTAGATCAGGTGCGTGTGGACCGGACGACTAATTCGGTTCGTTCCGGTCCCTGGACTGGAACCAAATTGTTTTACCAAACCTACCAAATCAACGGTTTTAGATTATAGAAACTCATTCAACATCATCAGCGTTTTCAAAAAATTTTTGTGTTCCAAAAATAAGAAAATGACGATAAGCTAAAAAATGCTCGTGTATTCAAAATTTGCTAAGAGATTTTTATAGTTTTGATTAATGAAAAGCCCACTCAAAGCACTTTAAAGATACAGTGCGTATCAAAAAAGATAGAGCCACTTGGTTTTTCGCCTTTAACTTCGCGTCGTGGTATTTTCTAGCGAAGTTAAGCATACACATCTTGTAGCCCTTAAAAAGGCGCATCTTTTTGTGTAGTTGAAATTTTTCTATGATTGATATTAAGCTTTATGATGAAAACAAGCAAATAGAGCCAAAAACACAAGTATCAAAAAGATAGAGCCACAATTTGCATCCACTTTACATGCGCTTTGAGCTTGCAAATTACATGGTAATTCTCATGCAAATCGTTCGCTTCATCCAAATTAACGAAGGCCGCAGGAAAATCTGATTGAATAGTAGCAATAAAAAGGCTAATTTTTTGTTAAGTGTTCGCTTCATTTGCGCGCTTAGGAAATGGTTAGAGCGATAAAATTTTTCTGCGGCCCTCGTTGATTTGAATGAAGCGCACGATTTGCAAGACAATTACCATGTAATTTGCAAGCTCAAAGCGCATGTAAAGTGGATGCAAATTGTGGCTCTATCTTTTGATACTTGTGTTTTTGGCTCTATTTGCTTGTTTTCATCATAAAAAGCTTATATCAATCATAGAAATTTCGACTACACAGAAAGATGCGCCTTTTAAGGGCTACAAGATGTGTATGCTTAGCTTCGCTAGAAAATACCACGGCGCGAAGTTAAAGGTGAAAACTAAGTGGCTCTATCTTTTGATACGCACTGTACATCACGGGTTGGAGTGCAGTGAGAAATCATTGTTTTTATAGTTTGGCTACGGTGCCGGGCTGGGGGACTGCCCTTCCCCGAGCAGTACAAGAGCGTTCCCCATGTCCGCGCACATACTGCCTTGCTGCCGGTCAAAGGACCGACGGATGAACTGTGCCGCCAGATTGGTCCGTGAACCGGAATTACGGATTATGGAGTGTTTTTCCAGCCCTCCTCGAGCCATATCGTGTCGCGGTGTACGCCGACCCGAAAGGCCAGCCGGGCGCCTTCGGCGCAGTGCTACGGGATGTGATTGGAATGGTGGGTGACGATATTTGAAGCGGAAAACCAAACACAGCTGATTTGGAAAAATTTTGCTCAAAATCGGTCATTTTTGACAAAAAAAATCGGCATTTTGCAATTGGCCAATAAAAGATTCGGAGCGTACCGGATGACTGGGAAAAATCGGGTTCCCCCTGTTAGCAGTCCAGCACCAAGTTTCACATTGAGGGAATAGTAAAAATAGCTTAGGAAATGCGTTAAGCATCTCTTATTAGAAAATTGGATCTTGGGGGTAAAAAAATGATTTTTTTTTCTCGATATTGCGCAAAAAAAAAAGTTTTTTAGAACCGGCCATCGCTGTGGGCGCACTTCGGGCGCGAGATCGACGAGATGGCCATCCTGATCGAGGCCAAGTCTCCATCCATTCGTGCCTACATGTCCCTCTACATGCATGTCCCTCGTCCCTACATGACCCTCTACACTATCCCCGAGGCGCGTCTGCCTCTGACGCTTGAGATGAACCCGGCGCTTCTTGTGCAATTCCACCGCACGCTCATCCCCGCCATCAACACCATCATCGAGGTGAATTTCGCGGTTACTGGACTGTTAGCAGGGGGCGGGGGACTAATTTTTTTTCCAGTAATCCCGTACGCCCTGGAACTAAATCAATGTTTGTTATAGCATTTTGCACGGTTTTTAGCTATAAAAAGCTCCAAAAAAAACTTGCAAGGTCTTCGAAAAGTTCTGATTGTTTGCTCAAAAATGTAGGAATGACCAAAAACGTCAAAATTTTGCAGTTTTCAAAAAGATTTAAAATATATTTTGTAACTTCCTAGCAATCAAGATGTCCTAAGACCCTCATAAACATAGACTATTTATCATGGACAGGGAGGTATAGCCGGAAAAACATAAATTAGTTTGCCCCCTGCTAAAAATCCCCCTCGCCGCTAACAGTGCAGTACCAAAACTTGGCGGCCATATTTGCAGCAAAGCAATGGGAACGGCGTGAACGCGAGATTGACGCCGTCGTGCTTCAGCATTTCACTCCTCCGAACCAGTGGCCAGTCAATAATTTCAAGCACGAATCTCGCGAGGGTTTGTGCAATATTTTGTAATGTAATATTTCCCAACAAACACCTCCCCGCTAACAGGCCAGTACCACGGAAGCTAGCACCTATAAATTCCAGAATTCGCTGCTTTGTACGAAGAACTTTGCCAAGGCAGAACCGACGCCCATAAGATTGTTGTCGATCCCGAGCGTCGGAAGTATTTCGTGATTCGTCGTGGACCCGAGGTAAGCCAGCTTGTTCACCTTCGAAATTGAACTGTTGCAGAGTGACGAGGACTCGTCGTAGCCTGCATCAATGCCAAAATCGTGCTCGCCACGTGCGACTACACGTTTGGCAGGTCAGACAACACGGAGACTGTGGTCTACATCACCCTTAGGAACCGCATCCCCGGCGACGCCAAGGACTACCTGCAAGCTTTGGATGCCGTCAAAAAGAAGATGAAAAAGCTGCACGCGGCAAAACTGAAAGTGGGGCCCTTTGTCATTAGGATTCGGTACTGGGCTGTTAGCGGGGGGTGGTAGCAAGGGGGAAAACCACCTTCTGTGTTTCTAGCCACAAACCACCTGTTTGCAGCTTTTGATTGCTGAAAAATTATGAAAAATATTTTAACATTTTTGAAATTCGAAAATTTTGACCTTTTTGGTCATTTCCAAAAATTTTTGACCAAAAAGTCAAAAATTTTCAAAGTATTCTTTTTTCTATTGTTTTTTTAATAAAATCGAGATCCATCCATGTTTAGCCTCTCGCGGACAAGCGCATATACGAGGCGACCATGCAGGAATGGGCCAACACGCAGCCCTACAATCGGATTCCCACCCGCGAAAAGGCCATCGATCGTGTAGGAGTATTTGGCTCGATTTGAAACCATAATGTCGAAATTTCAATATGGGAGATTGATAATTTCAGAATGGAATTTTATGTAAGCACATTTCTCGGAAAAATTCCCCAATCCTCTGTAAAAAATTTCGACACTATAAAATTTCGACATTATGAGACTCGTCATTTTGATTTTGGACATTTGGAAAGTAACCCCATTGATTTAGATGTTGGACGGGCGCTCCTGGGGCCGTGGCAACCTGGTGGGGCGAAGTGAAGCGTGCTTCAATTTTTCTCTTTTCAGCCGGAGGATTTTGACGAGAAGGACGACCCGATCATGAAGGCCTACCGTCGTGTGGCGAAATAAACACGCCAATTTCCATTACATTACTGTGTATTTTACGTGTGTCCATTAATTTCCCGCTGCCGATTGATCGATTTTCACGGAATAAATGTTTCCAAGATCGAGAAAAGCAAAATACTTAATCAGAAGTAATTCTTTCTTAAAAACAATTTTTTTAGTGAAAATAGCTTATTCCTGAACGGAAAAAACTAGCACATTTTATTACAAAAATAATACAAAAAAATATCGATTTACGACCAAAAATGGCCGTTTTGGACCAATATTTCGAGTTCCAATTTTCAAAGTTTATAGATAGTATTGCTAGTGAAAATATAGTTTTACCAGCGCCCAAAACCCGCTTCGCGGGCCTTGGGCGCTGGAATGCGGCCTTTGCATGAGAAATTTGATTTTGCGATAGCGCGGGTCCTGCGGACCCTCCCCCCCCCCCGACCACACGCGCGCGAGCAGATCGTAAGAATGAGGAAATTTGTATTTTTTCACATTATGCAAATTAGCCCCCCAGATCCCCAAAAATGAATAAAACCGGCTTTAACTTTGTAAACTTGTATTTTATCGAAATTCTAAAAACAGCATCGAAAAGAGGAGGGTCGATTCCCCCAAGTGACGGAGAATTGGGACGTTTTGGACACGGCAAGGCCCTCAAATCGGGCCTCCAAACTGACATCCACACACACACACAAAGATACACGCCAAAATTATATAAGGTAGGATTTTACAAAACCTTGTAAGAATAACTTTACTATTAGGTTACTAGGAGTTTCTAGATTAATACAACAAAATTAAGACCATTATATGCTGTCTTCCTAAAACCCGAGATTTTCCCGCCCAATCACATAACAAGCTCAGAAATCACACACATAAAAAGTTTAAGCAGCCTTTCCATGTCACAGACGCGGGGTGCAAGCAACGAGTCATCTGGGAAATTCCGTTTCTGTCCTCCAGACATCCCCCGTGTGCCGACAGGAAAAAATTTGGTTCCCCCCCACCCCGGGACTACTCAAGAACCAGATTTTTACGCGAAAAAAAGATGCTGAAGTGCGCCTGATTTTGTAAAACATAATTTTCTAGAGCCCTACCGCGCACCTTCAAATTTCTGAAAGAGCACATGGGCGCCGTCCAGATGCAACACTTGAATCGTGTCGGCGAGAGCAGCATCATGAACGCCTTCGCCTTCTTGATGGGTATGTCGGTTTTGAACATCAGGAGTACTGTAACGAACTGCTTAGCTTCTTTTTCAGGTAAACAGATCCAAGACGCGCCCCGATCGCTGGCCGGTGCCGCGGATCTGCCGGCAGAGTTGCAGAAAAGGACCAGTCGAAAATACATTGACAACTAGCCATACATCCAGAAGGCGTACGAAGATGCTCGAAGATCTCTCGCTCTCTCGCTCTCTCGCTCTCCCTCCCTCTCTCGCTCTCGCTCTTTCGCTCTCTATATTTCTCTCTCTATATATATTTCTCTCTCTTTTTAGCTCACTCTCTCTCTCCCCCCCCCCTCTCTCTCTCTCTCTCTCTCTCTCTCTCTCTCCTTATCCTTTTATCGCTTGTGCAATTGCCCCAAAATTAACATAATTTAAGATATTTGGATTGGAAATTTGGATTGTTCGGTGAGCATCGCCGGTGACCATTACCGCCTCACGGTTTTTACTCATTCCGACCCCTCGTCTCGGACGGCTCTGCGATGTTGCCGGGCGACCCCGACGACGCCAACAAGTCGACAGATGCGGAAGAGGGCAAGAGTGTTGTAGCCGCACAGGTCAATCTTTGCAAGCAATTCTCCAGAGCATACGACCTTCCAGGTTGTGGTCCCCATCGCTACCTCGCCGGTGGCTTCCACTTCCGCTCGCAACCCCGAAGAGACCGGTACCGTTCTCATTAGTGTGTGGTTAACTGTCCAAAATTCAGGCCCCCGCCTCTTCGAACGAGTCTGGCTGCAGGAAAACCCGTCGTCAAGAAGCCGCCCAAATTGGTATTTTGCTGCCTTACCTGAAATAAGCGCTAAAATCAGATGTCCACGTCGCACTCACTGCCTGCGTCTTCGACCTCGTTGCGGGGACCCAGGCCGATGGTATGCACATTTTGGCTTGCCATCCGTCGAGGTTGAGGTATCATACGGACTACAGTCTAGATCGAAAACTCATAAAAGATAAGATTTTTGGACTTGAAGCTAAAAATGGATGACTAAAAAGTAAAGAAATGTAAATATACTTTTCATAATTTTCTAGCGATTAGAACTACCACTACAAAACTTATTGTGATTACCAGCGGGTGAATAGCTACAAACAAATGTGTTTTCCGAACTGCTAAAAATACCGCCTCGCCGAGCCTAATGGTCTGGTACCCGCAGTCTGCTTGAGCGGTTTACCCTCCCCCAGGCCGGTTCCACCTACCTATCTTGGCTACCAACCATTTCAGAAGCGCTCGCACATGCTGCTCTGTTTCGCCGAGTTCAGCCAGCTGCCGCGACCTATGGCTGATGGTGATGAACCTGCTCAGCCCGCTCGATCTGCTCAACCTCGCCCGCTCTCACAAATTCTTCAAGGTGGTTCTGAATTCGCAGGGCGGTAGGGAGAACAAATTTCTTTCCGTGCTGCTCCTGTTGGCCTGGTAATCAAACATAAAATGTTACATCGTTTTTAGTATGTTTTCACTATCGTCAAAACAGAAAAACTGTCAAAGAAAGTTAGAAAATTCGGCTTAAGTGAAGTTTACCTCCCCAGCCGGCCCCCACCTACCGTATCTCGGCTCCCCGTTATCCTACAGGTGTGCGAAGTATACCAAAATACTCACGAGAGCAAGGCGAAAATCTTGGTATACTTTACGCAACTGTAGACCAACAGGGGCCGAGATACAAAGTTGAGCGCCGGTTGGGAGGGAAACAAATGCACTCAAAAAAATCAAATTTTTTCAGTTCCAGGATCTGATCAGAGGTCCCCGAAGAAATGGGGCTACCTGGACGGGCATGACAATATAACGAGCAGCCATGTCGCTGGCCAGCCGCAGCATATTATACCGCATCGACTATTATGCCGCATTTCGGTGAGTTCTTCTGCTCATCTCCAGCATCCCCGTCTTTGCTTAGGTTCCGTTCGTTCCGTGCAACATTAAAGCTTCTGCTGAACAACGCATACTTCGATCAGGTGAGAGGGTACAGAGAGAGCGAGAGAGCGAGAGAGTGAGAGAAAGAGGGAGAGCGAGAGTGCAGCGAGAGCGAGACGCGGCGATCATTTTTATAGTTCGGCTACGGTGCTGGTTGGGGACTGCCCGCCCCCGAGGAGTACAAGACCGCCCCCCATGTCCGCGCCCATACTGCGATGCTGCCGATCAAAGGGCCAAAGCAAGACCTGTGCCGCCAGATTGGTTCGTGGACCGGAATTATGGATTAGTGTTGTTTCAGCTCTCCTCGACCCATGTCGCGTCGCGGTGTACGCTGACCCGAATGGCCAACCCGGCGAGTTTGGCGCAGTGCTACGGGATGTGTTTGGACTGGTGGGTATGGCTGAGTATGAGCATAAAATGTAGCCATTTTTGGAGCGAAAATCCAATAATAATACAAATAAAAATAATAAGACATTTTGGTCGAAAATCATGCATTTTGAGCGAGAAGACGGTATTTTGGCAAGAAAAAAAAACAGCGTTTTAAGAACCGGCAATCGCTGTGAGTTGCACTTCGGTCGCCAGATCGACGAGATAGCCATTCTGATCGAGGCCAAGAGCACCCTCGATCCGCGCCTACATGTCCCTCTACACTATCACCGAGGCCCCCTAACCGATGGTATCGCACGCTTGAGATGAACCCGGCGCTTGTCGTGCAATTCCACCGCACCCTCATTCCCGCCATCAACACCATCATCGAGGTCAATTTTTCGAGGTTTTGATTGTCTTGCTGGTACTGGACTGTTAGCAGGGGACTAATTTTTCCATTATTCCCGTACGGTCAAAATAAGGATAGAAAAAATGGTAACAAAGCCTGAATAATTTCCACTTTTTCGGCAAAAATGCATGGATGACCAAAAAGCCATAATTTTCCAATTTTCAAAAAGATGAAAGTCTCTTTTGTAACTTTCTAGCAATCTAGATCACTAAAAACATCATAAAACACACTATTTATTATTGGCAGGTAGTATAGGGGGAAATATAAAGTAGTTTGCCCCCTGCTAAAGCACCTCCCCCCCCGGCTAACAGTCCAGTACCAAATGGAACCGTCTTTGCAGCAATGGGAGCGGCGTGAACGCGAGATTGACGCCGTCGTGCTTGAGAATTCCTCTCCTCCTGACCGGGAGCTTACCTATAATTTGAAGCACGGATTTTGCGATGGTTTGTGGAATTTTTTCTAATACGGGGCTTCCACCCCCCCCGCTAACAGGCCAGTACCACGGAAGCTACCACCTATGTATTTACAGAATTCGCTGCCCTGTACGAAGAACTCTGTCAAAGCCGAGCCGACGCCCGTAAGGTTGTCGTCGATCCCGGGCGTCGGCAGTATTTGGTGATTCGTCGCGGACACGGGGTAAGCCAGCTTGTTCACCTTCGAAACTGAACTGTTGCAGAGTGACGAGGGTCTCGTCGTCGCCTGCATCAATGCCAAAATCGTGCTCGCCACATGTGACTACGTTTGGCAGGTCAGATAACCCGGCGACCGTGGTCTACAACACCCTTAGGGACCGCATCCCCGGCGACGCCAGGGACTACCTGCAAGCTTTGGATGCCGTCAAAACGAAGCTGGAAAAGCGCACGCTGACGAACTGGATGTGGGATCTTTGTCAGTAGCAGGCTAATAAGGGAAGTATTTTTAACCTAGCGGGAAAAGGTTAGAGTGCAGTTTACCCCCCTCCAGCCGGCCCCCGCCTACCGTATCTCGTCTCCCTGTTTATCTACAGGTGTGTAACGTATACCAAAATGTTCGCCAGAGCAATACAAAACATTTTGGTTTACTTTACGCACTGTATCTGAACAGGAACCTGATACGGTGGGTGGCTACCGGCTGGAGAGAGGAATCAACTGCACTGGAGCTTTGTATGTTGGGGGCATCTTTTTGGCTCTCAGTCTTAGGGCTAGGCTTAGCTTTAAATTTGCGTACGCTTGACTTATACTTAACTTGGACCTAGGCTTGGCTTAGGCTTAGGCTTAGGTTTGGCAGGCTTAAATTAGGCTTGGTTTTGGCTTAGCTTAGGCTTAGTCTAGGCTTGCTCTCGGCCTAGCTTATGTGGCCCAGCCCTAAGCTTAGGCTTGTTCTAGACTTAGCTTAGGATTGGGCTTAAGCCTAGGCTTGGCTTAGGTTACGCAGGCTGCGCTTGGCTTGGTTAGCTTAGACTTGGAGACAAGCTTAGACCGGAAAAAACCTCAAAAAGATCCCCCCAACATCAAGAGCTCCACTGCACTTTGACAACCCGGGGAAAATTTCGATGTAACATACAGCAGTCGATAGACAGTTAAAAAATTATGCTGTTTAAATATCAGTTTTTTTGGCGCTTTGAAAGTCGTTAGGTTTTTCCAAGACCACAGAAATCCTCGAGCCCCGCCAGCTGTGGCTCGAAAATCGACATCCATTCTCGTTTAGCCTCTCGAGTACAAGCGCGGACTACGGGGCGGCCTGTAGGAATGGGCCAACACCCAGCCCTACAATCGGATTCCCGACCGCGAAAAGGCCATCGATCGTGTAGGAGTATTTGGCTCGATTTGCTACCATAATGTCGAAATTTCAATATGCGAGTCCAGTGTGCTAGGGATTGAAAGTGCCCAAATGGACCGCCGCCAGGCCAGCGGCTGACTTTGGGGGTTAGACCAGCGCCGCGACAGCGGCGCAAATTTGAAAAGCGATCAGAATTCGGAGAAATGAGAAAAATGTATCATTATGGCATGTAAACCCGTACTTTTCTGTCCTTCCGATAACATTCATCGTCTGTATTTTTGTGAAATAAATATTTTTAATAAATTTTTGTGTTGCATGTTATACCGTGGAAGAATCCAATTAAACTGAAGAGGATGATGGCGAAAACCGAGCGGAGAAAGTACATGGACGACAATTCCCTATAATTGATTCTTGCTAAACTTCCTATATATTCCTACAGACTACAGACGTATATATTCCTTGCACGTCAACGTCAGCTTCTGATTCATTCCAAATTTTATTTATTGGTTCCGACCGACGACGATAGACGCGCTGCTGCCGATGACGTTCGCACTACAATTCTGGAATAAAGACGGTGGAATACTAAAAATCTTACATCCGCCCCGCCTCCACTTCTCAATTCTGCACCTGCAATTATTTTTAATCTCAAACTTCAACTGAAAAAAGCGGCAAAAATTTAGGAAATCGTCTGCTACTGCTGCTAATCAAATCCACGAAAAAATTTGGAGCCGTTTGGAGTATCGTTTCGGAAATCCCCTACCGCGGAACAACGAAAATCAGTTAAATTCCGTACTCGGCGCTCTTCTCGGTGATTGCCCAAAATCCGTCCTCATGAATGTCTTTGGTACCGTACACCTTAGGTAAAAATATCTAAGCGATCCGGATTGGTTTAAGGTACCCTCCGGGACCAGCGAATGTTTTACCTTTAAAATCATCGACTTTGGGCATTGGACATGTTTGGTCCCCGTTGACCCCCTTAACCTGAACGATCAGGACCAAGTTGGCCTCATGATACTAAAGAGTTTGCTTGGCCGGATCCCACGGCTATTTGCCCCATTAGTCTCATAACCTCGGGCTTGGGACCAGCAATTTCGTTTCTTTTGGGCGGACCTTTCAGTTTTTCCTGCCTAAGTCTTACATTTCGGATTTTCCGTCGCCTGTTTCTCCTCCATAGAAAGCTTTTATTTCTCTTTATTTTGATATATAAATCTTAAAATTCGGTCCCGACTACGCGAACTACGGACCGGCGACACTTTGGGCGGGTCCCGTTTCACACTTTTATTAAGGGTTTGGCACCTAAAATTCATAACTTTTCAGTTTCTGCATGGATCGCCCCCAAAGTCATTCTCATGAATGTCCATGGTACCGCACCTCTAGGTAAAAATATCTAAGCGATCCGATTCGTTTAAGGTACCCTCCAGGACCAACGACTGTTTACCTTTCACACCTTTATCAAAGGGTTTAGCACCTCAAAATTCATATCGCTGCGGTCCTTGGCTTCATCGTCATAAATTTATTAAGCATGATTAGCAGGTTATCGTATACAATTGTAAAAGTTTTCTAAACGTTCCGAGCTCTGTCCGCCCTCTTCAGGACCGTGAAAGGTAGGTGAAAGGCCAAATGGGTTATGCCCAAAGTATCGGCGGTCCCTAAGGGTACTTTAAATCGCTCCAACCGCTTAGATATTTTTACATACTACAATATATGCTGACCGTTATGCTGTGCAATTTCAAAAATATCGGAACTATTATTGAAGTTATAAAATTTTAGGTGCCAAACCCTTATAAAAGTGTGAAACAGGACCCCGCCCAAAGTGTCGCCGGTCCGTAGCTCCGCGTAGTCGGGACCAGATTCTATAATTTATATATCAAAATAAAGAGAAATAAAAGCTTTCTTGGAGGAGAGAGGACAGGCGACGAAAATCCGAAATGTAAGACTTAGGCAGGAAAAACTGAAAGGTCCGCCCTTTAGATTCGAATTCGCTGGTCCCAAGCTCCGAGGTTATGAGACTAATAGGGCAAATGGCTGTAGGATCCGACAAAGCAAACTCTGTAGTATCATGGGGCCAAATTTGGTCCTGATCGGTTCAGGTTAAGGGGTCAGCGAGGACAAAACATGTCCAATGCCCGAAGTCGGTGATTTTTTAGGTAAGCATTCGCTGGTCCCGGAGAAGTACCTTAAACCAATCCGATCGCTTAGATATTTTACCTAAGGTGTACGGTACCAGTGGACATTCTTCAGGGACTTTGGGGGCGATCGCCCAGAAGAGCGCCGAGTACGGGGTTACTGATTTCTCGTTAAGTTCCGGGGTAGGGAGTTTCGAAACGATACTCCAAACGGCTCCAAATTTTTCTGGATTTGATTAGCAACGGTAGCAGACGATTTCTAAATTTTGCCGCTTTTTCAGTTGAAGTTTGGGATTAAAAATAATTGCAGGGTGCAGTTGTGATAGAGGCGGGGATGATGTAAGATTTTAGTATTCCACCGTCTTTATTCCAGGGTGTAGTGCGAACGTCATCAGCAGCAGCGTCATCGTCGTCGGTCCGGAACCGTCAAATAAAATTTCAGGAATGAATCAAGAAGCTGACGTTGACGTGGAAGGAATATATACGTCTGTAGTCTGTAGGAATATATAGGAAGTTTAGCAAGAATCAATTATAGGGAATTGTCGTCCCGCCTGTACTTTCTCCGCTCAGTTTTCGCCATCATCCTCTTCAGTTTAATTGGATTCTTCCACATTATAACATACCCTTCTATTAAAAATATTTATTCACAATACATCCAAACACATCGAAAATACATAACGTAGGGGCCTTCTTTAATCAGGGGTGATCGTTGGCGCCGAAGGCGCCGAAAAATGCGATATTACCAGCCCTTAGACCAGCGCTCAGAACCGTTTTTGGGACCAGCGCCCGCCGGTTTTTGCCCAAAGTGGTAGAGGACTGTATGCGAGATTGGTTATTTCGAAATTCTTAATCTCGATATTTCAATTTTTCGCCAAACCTATAATGTCGAGACTCATGG